TGAGGGAGATGGGTGTTTGATAAATAAATAAATAGGTATCCTTTGAAACGAGTGTTTAATGTTCACACAAAATGAGACACGTGTCGACGAGTCAGTTCTTCCATCCTACCCGGAAACGAAGTTAAGATGTCCATCCTTGGAGTCACAGCATACATTGAAATCGCACATCCACGAATTCAGAGAATTGTAGCTTTGTTAAGGGCGCTGGGAATTGTAGCTCTGTGAGGGATAAAAGCCCCCAGGATTCGGGCGCAGGGTCTATGTGTGAGTTAATTGTATGGTGTGTACTTAGCCCATTTTTTAAAACCCCTGTCCGTAACAATGGACGATCAGATTCTAAGGAAGACAGGATAACTACTCTTGTACATTTAATTTCGAATAAAAAGAAGAAAACCCATTTTTTCCTCCTCCTCGTTGCGGACTGATTATCTGCACTCGCCAAGATCTCATGTTCCACACGACTAATAAAATTAACAATTCCCGTCGTGCATCTGAACCCTAAACCCGTTTCCCATTAGGGTTGACAACTCTCCCCCGCTCCCGCCTTAATCGCTCCTCTGCTTTGAAGACCTTCAGCACGGGAGACTTCTCCAGGCCTGAGGAGGTAGCGAGTAGAAAAGCTTCCCCTGTAGGCCCATGTGAGAAATGCCGAGGGGCAAGTGACTTAATGGCCACTCGACTTCCTTGGCTTTCAGTTCTGTCCGAAAACCTATTTCTTCATCTGACACCCCCCGCCCCGCCTTCTCCCCCCAAAAGGCCAGGGCTGAGAGCAATGCCAGACACACCACAAAGACATCAACACTTTTCATTTTGTATTTATTTAGGACCTTGGGCCAGGCAATATCTCTCGGCCCAACCTACCTCACAGGGTTGTTGTGACTGAGTAAGCTGTGGAGAGGGGGAGAGAACCACGCAGGGCGCCTTGAGCTCCTTGCAGGAAACTTGGGATGTAAATGATGAAATAAATGAATGGAACTTCTTTCTGATTGCAGTAAGGCTGTATCGTCTGAAATCCTGCAGAGCCTACTGCCACTTCGTGTAGATAATACTGAACCTGATAGATCAACTGTGTTGTTGTTGTTGTTAATTTTATTTGTACCCCGCCCATCTGAATGGGTTCCCCCCAGCCACTCTGGGCTGTTTCCAACGTATATAAAGCAGTTTCCTGCGATCCTACCTCGAGATAGAATTTTCACATATATAATGGCCCGGATATAACTGGGCAGCGGGACAAAGCGTCTTTTGCGGACTTGAAACAGGGCGACAAAGGTGCCAAGCAGGACAGGGTCTTTAAAGTGCTTTTAAATAACTGGCAAAGAAGTTGTGGGCCAAGGCTGCTTGTCCCATCAGGAGCACCTTTCAGAATTCTCTCTCCTGCTCATTTCTTTAAAAAGGAGCTCAGCTTTCCTTTCCAGCTGGTCGTCTTTATTTGAAAGGGAAGATCCATTTTAAAAACAAACAAAATAAATAAATTTTGTGTGCCTTTTGTGGGGGGGGGCGGGCGGAGGTCTGTTTCTCTGATCTGTCGTGGCGAAGAAAGAACCGAGGTTGGGGTGGGGGATGTCGGGGGCGGGGGCTGGGCGAGGAGGGAAGAGGCTCCTAATGTGTCGCTCAATTAATAAACATGGCAATTTCACACCCACAAGAGAAGGCCATTATCCCCTCCCCGGCGCTTATCGGCTCCATCACAAAAAGGGTCACGGCGCAGCTGTGGCAATCCCCGGCGCTATTATGTAGGAGGCTGGCGGGAACCCGCTTGCCATCCCCAGTTCATACCTTCAGGCAAAGTTTGGCTGCGGGCGCAGCCGGTGCCACCTCGTGATAAAGGACTTACTCACCGTGGAAGGGAAAAGGGAGAGGAAATAATCGCGTTGAGCGCACACACGCACGCCTAGAAATAAATAAATGCATGCAGCCTCATCCCCCTCGCTTCCTTTTGTGGCTCCCCGCCGCCCCAAATGTCTCTTGATCTCCAGGACATTTTAATTTTATTTTATTTTTTGGAGCTGGGAGATTTCGCTCCCAGAGAAGTCCCCTTAATCTCTTAAAAACATCGCGCGTTAAGTGAGCCTCGCGCCTCGTTTCACCTCTGGGTGATTTATTTAAAGCGTTGGTGGCGACCAGAGATTGGGGTCTCCTGAAAGACAAAAGGCCGGCTAGGGGGTCGAGAGGGGCTGGGGAAAGAGGGGAGGGTTCGGGTTCTCGTAGGGAGAAGAGAACAGAGTCTGATCCGAAGCACGCATGTGCGAGAAGGAAGGTCCCGTGTGGACAGCAAAGCGGGCTGACTTCCCTCTGAGGAAGAGTAGTGTATATGTGTGTTTAGCAGGGTGTTGGAAAAGTGCTTAGGGCATCTTGGGGACAGAAGGGTTAAAAAGAGAGAGGGAGATGCATTTGGTGAAGTGAGTTTCAGATACCCCACAAAAAACCAACAACACAAAATCTGATAGTTTTCTACGGACCTGGAAAGGATTCTGTCGTTATTAGTTACGACAGTTTAAAGTAGCAGAGCTCTGTTTCTCAGTGGGTCCAGAGAGTTCTTCCAGGTGTGACCTTCGCGAGGGAAGATACTATGTCGGCCTTCGCCAAGGGGCTGATGGGAGTTGTGGTCCCAAAGGAGGGCTTCCCCTCCTTTCCGAAGCTTCGATGACGACATCCGTTTGAACCCGTGCTCACCCCTGAAGCCGATTTAAGAGGTTTTGAGCACATGCAAAGTGCGCTTTCCTCCCTGCTCAGTGACGGATACAACAGACTATTCCCAGAAAAACTGGAAGACTTGAGGAATCACCAGTTAGCAGCTCCCAGGAAAACCCTCACCACCATTCACTTAGAAGTGTTAAGTACCATTGATTTCAATGCAATCTTGAACTGATTCATAGACACCTTTGATCCTGCGAAGTCAGGATGTTGACTCAGGGTATCCCTGTGCTCAGTTAAGGTCCTTGGGAATGTTAGCATTGCTTGGCATTTGGAGTTAAAACGTTCAGCAGAACTTGAACTTAAGACTGCATCCCTGTTGGAGGAGGACACTTCACGCTGAGACTCTGAGTTGAGGAAATATGAGAAAGCTCCATTTATTACAGGAAATGCATGCTTGATAAAAAATAATAATGATCCATTGTTTTCTCCCTAAGGTGGAGATGCCTTCAACCATAGTTACTCTTGCATCTCAGCAGGAGAGGCACAAAAGATGTCTCCTTTCTCAATGTGAGGATGAAGTAGGAAGTAGGAAATGAGAGTAGATAGAATGGTTCTCAACCTGTGGGTCCCCAGATGTTGTTGGACTAAAACTTCCATCATCCCTGACCACTGGTCATGCTGGCTAGAATGATGGGAGTTGTAGTCCAACAACATCTGGGGACCCACAGGTTGAGAACCACTGTTTAGCATCTACATAGAGTTGTTGTTTAAAACAGAGACCTATGGTTTGCTTTTGGTTTTTTGGTCATGACCTCTCTTAGTTGCCTTGAGTAAACCATCCCATTTCCATCTGTTGACACCATGGTTATTGATGATCTACATGTAGCAGGGTGACTTGGATGATGACCAGTGTTATTTTTCTAGAAAAAGAGGTGCTGGAGCTCACCACAAACTTTTCCCTTGTTCTCTTAGAATGGCAATGGCACCCACGTGAGCTCTGGATGAAAAAAAGCCCTGATGATGACTAAGGTTGAGTTTACAGGTGTACGTTGCTCGTGGGAAAGCGGACCACCACTTAAACACCCTGGATAAAGTGTTCATATCATTCTAATGGAACAACCCCCCCCCCATAACAGATAACTTTCCCCTGCAAATCACTGGGCATCGGGGACACTGAGTGTCCTGCACCCATGTGTGAATCTGTTTTTGTCTGCAAAAACATTTGATGAACCCAAAAGCTGGCCTAAATGATCAGTCATAAATTGGAGGCTCAAACCTTGATGATTTTTGTCCTTTCCAGGTTCACGCAAGTGAGTTATCCCATTTTAGAAGAGGAAACAGGATCTTGGGGGATGGTGCATATATCCACGTGAACAGGGTGCTTCTGTTGCCGAATCTGAAATCTGAATTACCCAGGCCTTTGGTTAATTAAACAATCTATGGCCTTTTAAATTGTGCGTGTGTGGGAGGGGAGGGAAATTATTGTTTTTGCTTGTTACTATGCTATGTCTTTCTGTGCTTTTATATTGTAAAGCACCCTGTGGCCCTCTGATGAAGGGCAGGATAGAAATTTAATAAAGAAATAAAGCTTGCAGTGAGAGAAAAGTTTGTGGGGAAGAGAGAGCACACAATCCATGGTTTGAGAAGTAATGTAGCTCGTTCCTTACTTTGTGTGGCTGCAATAGTTACTTAAATGCTCCACCTTTCTGGCCTCTGTTGCCCTGGAGAAACCTACTTATCCATCTGACGTGTAAAAGGATCATGTCCAGCCTTGCTGAGGCACGAATATGAATGATTTATACTGAAACACTACTTCATTTCAACCCTCTTTTCTCCAAATGATGATGATGTGCACACCTGTGTTTTGGGAAGGGAAGCAGAACATCAGAAGTGGGATCTGCGACAAAATGTTGCAGTGTGGAGAGAGCGCGTGTTCAAGGTACCAGCCAGCCATGCCCTCTTTAAATCACCCCCGACAACACTCAGCCTTTGGTGCTGTTGCATCATGCCTGCCTACTGAGCATGCTCAGTCCTTATAAGGCTATTTTGGACTCGCCCTCGAAAAAGAAAAGTGCAAGTCCTTTCTTTCGTGCAGAGAATTGTTCCGAGGCCAGACTTACCAGCGGAAAATGGAACAATTTTCTCTGCAGACAATTCAATCGACTCATTCAGGATGTGAATAAATAGGGCACAGTGAACCATAGCAAATAACTCGATCCAGAATTCAAAGTCAGCTCACTTCCTGCACAGCCCTGTTTAATTCAATTTTCTTGAACGACTAATCGGAAGTTTGTAGACATAACAACGTGCCTCACGAAGGATTCCCTCAAACAGGCTCATTCATTCATTCAGTGACTGGGGATGTCGGAGATAGCTCAGTCGGTAGAGCATGAGGCTCTTAATCTCAGGGTCGTGGGTTCGAAGGCACATGTTGGGCATTGCATGGGGTTGGACTAGATGTCCCTCGGAGCCCCTTCCAACTCGAAAGTTCTGTGATTCCAAAGCTGCAGTCGTAGCTCCCCTGAATTCAGCAGGGTAGACGTGGCTAGGCTTGGGCTGTAAATTTGCAAGCTGCTTTACCGAGCGCCTGTTGAAACTCTTTGGCAAACGCTCGCACGCAAATGTGTGTTTTACAATTTCTAAAACAGCATCTCAACTGCTCGCCCTCGGCGCGCGCACCCCCCCCCCAAAAAGTGTCCGTGTTAGACATTTGGAGCTTCTGCAGAGAGCGAGAGAGCAGCAAACCCCCCTCCCCAAAGCGTAATTACATTTTTAGAAAACAAACACTAATTAGGCGTTTCAAGCGGTCTAACAGTAAACGGAGCCCAACAGGCGTACTTGGAAAGAAGCTTCCGCTGGGCAGAAAAAGAGAGGGGGGAAAAAAGAGAGAGAGAGAGAGAGAGAGACTGAGAAACTGACTCAGCATTTTCCCAAACTGCTCCCAAATTATTATCGCATCGGTTTTCTATAGCGCAGGTTCCGGCGCGCTCCTGTTATTGGCTTTTAAATTAAAACAGATCTTTCTGAGCGTGGCCATATTAGAGAGGTTTCCCTGGGTAAAAAAAAAGAAGGAAAGAAAGAAAAAATCCGATGACTGTAACGAGAAAATATTGCATAAACCCTTGCTTCCTATTTATATGCAAAACAGAGGAGCCAGAGAGAAAGAGACGCGCTCCCGGGCTCGCTCTTTTTCTCTTCTCCCCTCCCTGCTCCACGGTGATTTAGCAGCCAGAGGGAGGGAGGTTTCGTCCCTTGCATGTTAATTTCTCCAGCACCTGTCACCTGGAGAAGTTGCGCGTCCACACGCCCCGGGGCGTGGAACTTCACACCGGGCCGCATTTATTGTGCCAACGATCGGGGCTGACATCACGCCTCTTTCTCTGCCTCTTCCCCTTGAACAAACATCCAGGAACACAAGGATAATCCGGGCTCGCTGTCCTCTGGATCATGAGATGGCAACATAATGCAAATGTTTATTCAAAGATAACAAGTTGGAAAAGAAAAGAAAGAAAACCTATCCTGCCGAGTACAGCGCTGGTGCACTCTGGTCCTAGGCACATTTACTCGGAGGTAAATCCCACTGTGTTCAATGGGACTTGCTCTCAAGTAAGAGTGCTGTAGAATTTTAGGCTTAAAAGAAAGTTGCCATCACCCTATTTGGGTAGGCTTTTGTTCTATTCCATAGCTGATACGGATTATTTAATGGACAATGAGGATGATGACTATGTTTGTACCCCGCCCATCTGACTGGGTTGCCCCAGCCACTCTGGGTGGCTTGCCGCAAAAACATTAAACATTAAAAACTTCCCAATAGAGGGCTGCCTTCAGGTGTGTACCATAGTTCTAGTTACAGGTAGGTAGCCGTGTTGGTCGGCCGTAGTCAAAACAAAATAATAATAAAAATTCCTTCCAGTAGCACCTTAGAGACCAACTAAGTCTGTTATTGGTATGAGCGTTCATGGGCGTGCATGGTCTCCAAGGTGCTACTGGAAGGAATTTTTTTATTATTTTGTTCAGATGTATAGGTATTTATCTCCTTGACAACTGATGGGAGGGTGTTCCACAGGGCGGGCACCACTACCGAGAAGGCCCTCTGCCTGGTTCCCTGTAGCTTCACCCCTCACAGTGAGGGAACCACCAGAAGGCCCTCTGAGCTGGACCTCAGTGTGCCGGCTGGACGGTGGGGTGGAGATGCTCCTTCAGGTATACTGGGCTGAGGCCGTTTAGGACTTTAAAGGTCAGCACCGGCACTTTGAATTGTGCTCAGAAACGTACTGGGAGCAGGTGTAGATTCTTTAGGACCCGTGTTATAGTCTCTGAGTCACCTTGAAAGGTAGCCCCACGTAGAGCACATTGCAGTAGTCCAAGTGGGAGATCACCAGAGCATGCACCACTCTGGTGAGAGTTCCTTGTCAAAATACTCTCATGCTTGGTATGAGAAGTTGGACCACACTGCCTTAAAGGGAAGTCATGTCTCAGTGGAGGCATTGATGTGGTGAGTCTTGCCCAGAGACAAGACCTTGCAAGTTGCCCTGACACCATCAAACAGTGCCCCCTCCCAAGAAGCTGTTGAACACCAACCCCCCTCATCCCTGACCATCGGCCATGATGGCTGGGGCTGTTGGGAGCTGGGAATTCAATGGCATCTGAAGAGTCACAGATTCTCCATGTGGCCTATAGAACCTTAGATCTCTTCTTCTTTGAATCAAGCTCAATACCATGGAGCAGCAATAGACCAAAGTCCTAAAGGAGCAAAATTGTAATTGACAAACATAGGGATCCTGGCTTGGGAAAGGAGTGCAACATTTCACTCACAGCAAATGTGGTGTTTTGGTTGCCATTGTTTGGTGGAAATACCTCTTCAGTCCTTACCCTTATTTTGTGTGTGTGTGTGCGTGTGTACAGTGGTACCTCAGGTTACATACGCTTCAGGTTACATATGCTTCAGGTTACAGACTCTGCTAACCCAGAAATAGTACCTCTGGTTAAGAACTTTGCTTCAGGATGAGAACAGAAATCATGCTCTGGCGGCGCGGCAGCAGCAGGAGGCCCCATTAGCTAAAGTGGTGCTTCAGGTTAAGAACGGACCTCCGGAACGAATTAAGTACTTAACCCAAGGTACCACTGTATGTGTGTGTGTGTGTGTGTGTGTGTGTGTGTGTATATATATATATATATATATATATATATATATATAACCAATGGACTTATTTGCATTGTGATCTATGACTGAAGGTTTTCAAGTGAGGGCTCTTCATCAGCTTGCTAGGTTTGAAAACAAACATGATTGATTTGGGGCAGGAAACTCCAGACCAAAGTGACAAGGAAAGCTTTTAAAGATTTGGGAATGCCTTTCGGCTTTCAAGAAGAGAGCGCCAGGGGCTTTGGAGCTTTCATCCCCATTGGCCTCCGAGGTGGGCAACCCAATAGGGAAAGATACTTTCCCAGCCCTGCCCGGCGAAGCGTTTTGTAAGCATCAAAGGGAAGGTGAGCACTAATCCGAAAATGACCACTTTTTAAAAGCTCCTCAGATGGTTGCAAACTCATGGCTACAGCAGCAGAACTCAAGTCAGACTCCCCTTCTTTCTTTTCCTTTCCTCTCCCCCTTCACCACAACAAATTCCACTTAATGTCATAATAACACTTACGAAGCAAGGGCGAGCAAGGGCTCTCACACTGGTTTTTCTGCATTCTTGAGTCTAATTAACGAGGCAGAAAAGAGGGCAAGATGGTTTGGGTCAAAATCGGTATCGGAGTCACCTTGTGTCAGGCTGTGGGGCCTATAATTACCAGATTAGAATCCTGAATCTGTAGCTTCCCCCTCCTTACCTTTTTGCCTTCCTTAAATTCTGAAGAAAGAAGCAACCCAGACTCCCACCCCCTGCAGATGGCCAGACAATATAGGCTCCAGCTCTCCTTCGACCCAGAATGCAGTGAAGGACACAATGGCCAGCAACACCACTGTGTTTGCTTCAGAAAGGAGGGCAAGGTGCAGAAGACAGACAAGTGTGGAAGAAAGGCAGTGCCAAGCCCTCTAACGTGAAGTGGGGTAAATGGTACACAAGATAGGTCAAGAGCGTTGCCTTATAACCAGGGTTGTCCGCTTTTTACTGGTCCTGCACCTGTGGCTTCTTTCCTTACCATTTTTACCATGCTGGAAACAACAACAGCAACCTAAACCCACTTAACTTCTGGGTTTCATGCTTCTGTTAAAGGTGGTGTCTGTTAAAATAAATAAATAAATAAATAAATAACCAAAACAAAGGTAGCAAGTCTACACCTTCCTTCACCCTCCACTTGGTATATACAAAGCATATTGTATAACTTGCAAAAACACTTTGTTGAAATCTCTTTCTGGATTCCCGTGAGTGCATTTATTTTATTATACACAGTCCTGTATCAGGAAGCTTTTAATGTCTGGTGTATCGTGTGTTCTTTATATTCTGTTGGAAGCCACCCCGGGTGGCTGGGGCAACCCAGTTGGATGGGTGGGGGACAAGTTGTTGTTGTTGTTAAATCTGGCCTTCACCTGAAGGTCCCAGGGCTGAGAATGCATAAATACTTCAACCACAAGTTAACAATATAAAACTGAGCAGAATACATATACATTGCCAATAAAAATGAAATAAAAATCACTGCAAAATCGCAAGATCCAAAATCAAAAGACCTCAGTTGCAAGGCAAAAACATTATCCAGCCTCACTGCATCTGTCCCTCTTGCAAAGACTTGGGATCTTCATTTGCTGATGAAATAAGAATAGTGTCTGGGCATGACACACCTCAGAGGGGAGATCATTCATAGGCTCAGAGCTGCTGAGGAGGCATTTCCATTCCAGTTTCCCATGTGACAGAAATGGGACCAGTATGGATGGCACTTGTCGGCTTGTTTCCCCGCATTTGCTTTCCTGTATTGGCTACAGTGTGCATTTAGTTGATATGACTGTCTTCTGTTTGGGATAAGCAATATCCACATGGGAACAGAATGAGATTGGTTTCCAATGTCAGTGTGAAAATGCCTTTGGCACTTGGGGTCGTGACTTCAGATCCAAGCTTTGAGCATAAATCTGGGGCCATGTTTTTTGGTGTGTCTTTTGAAATATATGCATGCTGTCTCGGAATCTATATGGTATTCAAACGATAAGAGAATTTTATTTTGAAGAGAAGGTGCATGACCTCTGCAACGGCTTCTAAGGGTTTGCCCTACCTGCAACTTTTTCCCATCTCCCTTTCAAGACAGAGATTTATTTTAAAAAGTCTAGCCTGCCTTCTATCTATCATCTATCTATATCATCTATCATCTATCTATCATCTATCTATCTATCTATCTATCTATCTATCTATCTATCTATCTATATCTATCTATCTATCTATCTATCTATCATCTATCTATCTATCTATCTATCATCTATCTATCATCTATCTATCTATCTATCTATCTATCTATCTATCTATCTATCTATCTATCTATCTATCTATCATCTATCTATCATCTATCTATCTATCTATCTATCTATCTATCTATCTATCTATCTATCTATCTATCTATCTATCATCTATCTATCTATCTATCTATCTATCTATCTATCTATCTATCATCTATCTATCTATCTGTCTGTCTATCTATCTATCTATCTATCTATCTATCTATCTAAAAAGCACCCGGGGCACTGTGTGTTATAGCTATAAGACCCTCAACAAATATACCCGAGTCTTACAAAATTAACCTGAGAAAGAGCTTTGGGCAAATCCTTGGCTGTTCATCTCAGTTGCCTATCTATAAAATATGAATAATAAAAATAATATCAAGGCCCACTAAGATAATTTTGCCAGCCTGGGAAAGACAATAGACACTGTCAGCTCTTTATGTCCTGATCTCTACCTGCATCTCAAGAGGATTGCTAAGCTCTGCCACTGCCATCATCCCTTTGCAGAAAAAGGAAAGTGAGGGAAGAGATGTCCAAAACATTTTTTTTGGCTTCACAGTTGTAGCTTTCCGAGCTCAAGCTAACTTGCCACCAGTAATTTGACTGAGGAATGGTAAGTATATGGTAGCCAACACAAGCACTCTCAGATGCTTTGTAGACATGGTCAACATCTAGCTGTCTCCAACAGATGACCTGAAAAGTATTTAGTATGTATTGTTCTAATTTCATCTATTCGTTTAACCTGAAAGTGGGAACATGGTGCCCTCCAAATGTTGCAGGACTACAACTCCCATCATCCCTAATCAGTGACCACAATGCTGACTGGAGTCCAACAGCATCTGAAGAGCATCAAGTTGGAGTCCCTTCACTGAATCAATCTCAAAATGATCCTTTGAACAGATAACAAAACCCAAAGCTATTGTTCTTTCCTGATTCCAAAAACCTGAATGTCAAATGCTGGGGTCAAATTCTGATGTAAAGAAATCTGAATTGCACACCTTAAAAACATTCATCCAATTTTGAACATTCATCATGTTTTGTTCGACCACTGCAGTGACCACTCCTGTGTTTGCACTTCTCCAGCGTCATAGTCTTCTTTCTAGCCCACTGGAGTCATGCAGTTGGTCTCACTAGGGACACAAGCCCCAGAAACCACCCCCATTTTTCTGTGCTGTTGCAAGCCCATGCTATATAGGCACTTGAAATTATAAATGAAACAAGAGACATAATTGACACAGTTGCACAATGTAACAAGACATTCAACTCCTATTTACAAAGTTTGTTGACACATTTTCTTTCATGGCTTCTTGCACTCTTTTGAAATGCTTCGGGAAATGATATCATCAGCACCCCCTATAGGCCAATTCCAACCCAAAATATTTAAATGAAGTGACTTTTTCTTCTCTTTCCACAACACAGTATGTGTGAGGACTGGTGCTGGCATTGCAATCTCTGAACATGCATTTGAAGGCAAAGGTAAATGCTCATCAAAAAGGCTGCCTGAAATGCAGTTCTTTGTCACTTTGGTCATCGGCACATCTGACCAACATTTGACAGATCTTAAAGTGTCTTACTAGAGAAATACACTGCCTGTTATTAGATTATGGAAATGCTCTGCTCTCTCTGAGGGAACTACATGATATCCTGGTCTTTGCATTGCTCCAGGTAAAGAATCTCAGGAGGAGTTCTTAGTCTGAGACTTTGGAGAGCTATTTCCAATCAGAATAGATGGCTCCAGGCTAGGTGAACTGGTGGTCTGACTCAAGAGAAAGCAGCTTCTGTGCCTTCCAGGGAAATGACTGAGGACAGGCTGCTGGCACACCAAAGGACATTGGTGAAGACTGGAACTCGGTGACTGGCAGTGCAATCCTATGCATGCTAACTCAAAAGTATGGCCCAGTGAATTCATTGGGACCTGTAAGTGTGTGTGTGTGTGTGTGTGTGTGTGTGTGTAACCAACATGATCTCCTCCAGATGACTCCCACCTTCAATAACATTTGGTCATGCTGGCCATAGGATGTTAGGAGTCCCAACAATATCCAGAGTCCCCAAAACCACACCAGCTACCCCTGGTGTTAAGGGCTGTAGTCTTTGGGTTGTATCCAGCAAAGTCAACCTGAGTGCAGAACGCCTTATGTGAGCACAACGAGAGTTCTCCTTCCTCTCCTCCTCCGCATAACCCCAAATCTGCTCCAGGTTCTCCATCACCATCCAGAACAGAATTGGTTGCAATGCAGCCAGGGTGTGAGACGGAGAAGTAGAGGAAGATCCATTTCACTCACAAAAGATGTTCCCAACAAGTTGGTTGGATAAAACCAGTTGGCGACATGCTTCTACAACAAACAGAGACTTCAGAGGGATATGGAGTCCACCAATTGCTAACCGAATTTTTCAGGTTTGTACACCAGCATAAGAGGTCAAGTCAGGATCTAGTGAGCGAAAAGGCCTATAAAAATCCGAAGGTTTACCTATTGGTTCTAGAAATATTTATGTGCTAGACATGTAATGCAAAATAAAATTTAACAGGTTGGTTATGAGCAATAGCTTATTTTGACACAGTAACAGCAATGATGTACCCTTGGGCTGATCTTCAGCACAGAGGGCTCTTCTGTTATTATCCACCCCGACGCGATTTCGTGAGTAAAAATGCAATGCATAAATGTTAAAGGTCTAGCTTGGTAACATATTAGTCATAGGAGTGCTTCAGATTACTTAGTTACACTCAGTTTCCACCACTCGCTACCATAAAGGGGTGTGTGATGAGGACCACACAGAAGAGTTGTCCAAAAGACTCTGGATGAACTCCAGAAGTGAAAGATTCATTAGTATGCATTTCTGCCTTTGTAACTGCTCCTTCTTATCGGGAATCTTCTAAAGGGGCAGTCAGAGAACAAAAAAGAGCAACCTACAATTACGAGGGAATGTGCCCTGGGCTGCTGAAAAAGCCCTCAAGCTAGTCCACTGGAAAGAAAGAAAGAAAGAAAGAAAGAAAGAAAGAAAGAAAGAAAGATCAGATGTAAAGACACACTTTCTACAGGCTCTTTGGGTGACACAGGAAAAGACCTGAACATCCCCTTCGCGCCTCCTTAAACAGAACATTTGAATGCTTGCATATGGTGTTTGCAAAAAACAAAACTGGTGGTATGTGCATTGCCCAAACATGGCTTTTCATTCAATCACCAAAATGAAGAAGTGCTGGAGAAGGACTTTGCGTCACTTGTCCTAAGCAGGTCTTAGGGTTAGTCGTGGCTCCAAGTGGTGGAGGCAGGGGACCATCAATCCCTGAAGTTAGATTTAGTTTGGCTGTGTATGTGTGTGTGCAACTTTACCAAGTGCTGCATCCAGTGAAGTGCTACTCAGAACAGACCCATAGAAATTAATAGGCGCAAGTTACTTGTGTTTAGCGTTGGAAGATTCAGGACAGATGGAAGAAAACGCTTCTCCACACGGCATGTAGCAAAGCGGCAGAATTTGCTCCCAGAGGCAGCAGCAGTGATCACCACCAACTGGTATGGATCTGAAAGAGGATTAGACAAAATAGTAAGGCTATCAAGGGTTACTAGCCATGATGCTTATGTTTTGCCTCCACTGTCAGAAGTGGCATGACTCTGAGCAACAGTTCTGTAAACAGAAAGAGAGTACTGCTTGCGGGCTGCCCAGAAGCATCTGGCTGGTCCTGTTGAAAACAGGATGCTGGACTTATAGCTCAGTTGGCAGAGCATGAGACTCTTAATCTTAGGTGTGCGGGTCTGAGCCCCGCATTGGGCAATATATTTATGCATTGCATGGGGCTGGACTAGATGACCCTCGTGGTCCTTTCCAACTCTACAATTCTATGATTCTGTGACTAGTTCTTATTAATTTTAATGGGTCGATTACGAGCATGACTAATGTGGGATGCAAACCTGAGAGATCTGCTTTGTAGATGGTTGCTCATAGGGGTCCTACAGAAAAATGGCTAGGCTTGTTTATATGACATTTACAGAGATGACTCAAGGCCAGTTGTATTTATATTACATTTATGTCCCTTCTTTCCTCCAAGTTGCTCAAGGTGGCAATCCCCTTCATCATTTTATCCTCACAATGACCATGCAAGTAGTGGTGGTCTTTGGGCTTTCAAATTTCAGGGGCACCCTGTGTGATGCTAAAATTTGGCGCCCCCCACCTCTCACACACCATTCTACACCACTGTAGAAGAGAGCCTAGTGCAGCCCTCCTGGTTGCAATACACTAAAACGGCTTCTGCTGCAAGGTAGGTTAGGCTGAGTGACCATGAATGGTCCAAGGTCACCTAGTAAGCTTCATGGCTGAATGGGGATTTGAACCCTGGCATCCTAAGTCCTAGTCATGTGATGTCTCTCATCTTAACAATGGAAGTATGAATGGCCTCCATTGTGTCTGGGGTGATATGGAAGTTCTAATAATACTCAATGTAGGGTGCAATGCACTCAGTTAAAACCAATTACTTCAAAGCGGGGGTGGTGGTGGTGGACCAGTGGCAAATTTTACCCCTCGATAGAAAACCAGCAAAGCTGTCGATGAATTCTAATAGGTCTGTTGCTCCCACCCACAGCAGCCATTCGTGGCTTCTCCACAGGCGCCTGCTCTTCCAGCGATAAATGCTTCATAAATACAAACATAAATCAACACTCAGGCCACTCATGGAGAGAAGACCACCATCTCTTTTAGCTGCTCTTGATGTGACTCCTCCTGAATGTTTTTGGTCCTGTGGACACCTCTGTCTCTTGTCTCTGTACTACTGTGCCCACAATACGCCCCCTTCTCTCCCGAGAACGAAGGAAATTCCCCTCTCTCCTCATGTGGATATTTTAGATCACATTTTGCCTTCGGCAGCAACCAAGCGACCACAGATGAAGTCCGTGGGGCTGTGTAGAAGTAATAGAGAGCTATGTTTAAATCGTCATTAAAAATGCCACCTCCAAGAGGCTCTTCCCCTTCCCATGTTGTTGCAGGACCCCTCTCAGAATGAATAGCAGGAATGGACAGAGCAGGTCCCTCGGTGAATATTGCATTCTGGGTAAGCCATCAGCATGAGTGCAATGCCAGTGCTGGCAACTGTTAACTTGTGGTTTAGCTATTTTAAAGGCTATAAAAACTGTTGTCCACCGCTACTATGAATAGGGAAGAGTGTTATTTTGCTGTTCTCTTTAAAATGGGGGATTAAGGCCATTATGGAGGAAGACTGCTGGGGATATTCACTCATGAGATAGTCTGTGTGGATAAGAGACAATGTAGATAGAGAATTAGGTCTGGCTATGGGTAGACACAGATTGACACAACCTACCTATATGCTGTGCTTTCTGTGGCTCCACCAGGTGTAGAACAAGCATGGAGCCATCTATTGGGCACTGGGTTCAGCCTCTACAGAATCTCAGTTTCTGTCTCCCTGCCCCCCCCCCAAAGGTTATTTCTTGTCTTTATGAGTCACAAGGCTTATGACTGTGGAGAAAGGCTTGAAAAAGTGTGAGAAACAACTGATGAAATCTCAGAAATGAGATGTGGGTCTGATTAAGACTTCCGGCAGTTACGGGATAGAGCTTTAGCACTCTGACAAACTCCTTGCCCTTTCCAGTAATTAGAAGAAACAGTTATGCAATTGGGCTTAAACCGAATACATTATATAGGTTGCAGAGTCCAGCTGTCCTTTACACAGTGTTTGAGTTATTTTGGTGCAGAAATTTGATCTGCTCAACACCTACCCACCCACCCACAGAGAGAGAGAGACTGAGAGAGAGTCAGAGACTGGGATAAACATAGTCCTTACTATTATGGTGCTTTATTTCAGCCAGAACTCACCAGAACTCAGTTCTGGCACCTCTCAGGTGGTTGCCATTGCCATTCTAAGAGAATGAGGGAGGAGATTATGGTGAGTTTCATCACCTCTTTTTCTAGAAAAATAGTACTGTTCCTATACCATAAAATACAAGCTGATTTGCCACATATAATTTAGCCTTGGTCTTCTATCTGTAAAATGGAATGAACTCAATGATGCAAGTGATCAGGAAAACATGGGTAAAGAGCACTGGAAAAATGTTTTTTCCACATTCACCGATAGGCTTCAAGTACCAACTGGGACTCAACATGATGGGAATCACAGTGAAATGTATAACTCACTGATTTTGGGGCAAAGGCATTTCTTACATTTCCTGCAAACCTTCATGACTTCATTTATTTATGCAACACATTTCGACCCCAGCTTTCAGGTCATATTACCATCACAAGACAAATTACAGGTTGTTGTTTTTAAACGTATAAAACTCATAAATGTATATTGATGATGCTATCAATGTAGGTATAGGAATGTGCCCTCTTCATTCCTGCACACTTTCGTCACTGACATTAGCCTGCTTCACAGGTTGTTGTGAGGCCTTTCCAATTAAAAAATCAGGTTGCAAAGGGCTCTGCCGTGAGAAGGAAAGTCGACGGTAGCTGACCTGAAGACACAGACATGGTTCCTGACTGTATGGGACACATGAGAGATATTTGGATGTGTTCTTTGCTTTGTCCCTCGCTAGTAAGTTTACAGATCCAAGAATTTGGGGGAACTCAAATATGTCTTTTAGGACCTTTTTTGGGGGGGGCTTTTTTTTGACAGACTAGTATGGTGCTTGGAGATAACCCAACAATGGCAGAGAGCTGTGCAACCGCACACACTGCACCTACAAAACAACGTGCAGTGATTGATCTGAGATTGCCAGCAATGCTTAAACGTAAGGAGAATATAAGAGCCACTGGAGGAGGCCATGGGAACAGGAAAAGGCTATTTTAATCCCACCTTCCTGCTTTTTCATCCCGCTCCCTCCTTCTCCAGTAACAAATCAAGGTGTCTGTTGAACTCATTTGTGCGCTTTGCATCCACTGTGCCTTTGTAATTTATTCCATATGCTTATTACCCTTTGTGTGGAGGAACAGCTCTGTCCACACAGCCGATTCGCCTAATATTTGGTGGCACTTCCCTTCCAGATCCAGGTTTCAAATGAGTGCAAGCTGTTTTGGATCCTGCTATAATCAAGGCTAGGAGCTGGAATGGCGGTTACCTGTAGCCTCTCGTTCCTTTTTCAGCAATATAGGGCTGGGTTGGTCGTGGGGTCAAGCACTTCCACATCTTGTCAAGAGTTAAATTCGTGGCTAAATCTGTCTCAAAAGGATCAAATGGGACGTGAACACTTCATCGTGGATGCTAAATTGTGAATTCATCTGGTGAGTTTGGCCAGGCTTGTAGCCAAAATAAGGTCACTGAGAAAGAAGAAGGGGGTTATCCGGAGGTTTTTGGGGTGCAATGGGATTTTGTCTCCCTCCCCTCTCCCTGTGACTCCTCCAAATCTGCTCTGGAGAGTTGGGGAAACCCCCAGAACACGTGGGGGGTATGTGGGGAGAAGAGAGAAAACCCTGTTGCACAGAAAGAAGTCCTTGCATGAATGGGATACATCCCATTGGGTTGGATTGTTGTTGCTGTACTTATTACTATTATTATTTATTACCCTTCCATCACCACAAGGTCCCAGGGTGGGTCACAACAATGTAAAATACAACATTAAAAAGAGTTTAAAACAAATTATAACCACACATCAAAATTAGATGTGTTTTCAAGCGAAATAAATGGGTCATGACTGACGGGTCCCATTGATTTCAATGGGTCCTAAGTTTAACTAACTTAGTCTGGATCTTAGTATGTGCTATCAGAATGATTAGATTTGCTTCATTCTGGTGCCAAAGAAAGGAGTTTTCTTTTTTAAAAAATCTTTTGAACCAGCTGGTCAGATAATTTTTTTAAGGGCATAGTCTAGTTTCACTATACACTGTGCTACACTGTGAGAAATTTGATAGTATGCCCCTTAAAAAGATATGGATAGGAGACAAGGTATTTGTGTACACACACACACACACACACACACACACACGGGTTTCCTTTTTTCCCTTTTTTAAAGTGTTCCTGCTTTCCATTGTAACAGGTACTGATTGCACCATGTTTGGTTAGGTAGTAAAAATAGTAATAATTCCACAACAGGATTAGATTTTGATGGCACAACACTTGAATCCTGAGGCAAATGATTTGTCCAAGCTTAATATGAAGTACTTAGGATATACTGTTTGATGTAAACACTCGTTCTAATAAAATGGTGCCTGAGGTACAGGTCTTCAGCTTGTAATATCCTATTTGTGTTGGCCTGTACATGGTGCGATTCAAAGCGTTTCTTATGATAATAGAAGATATGTGATTTTTTAAAAATAAAAAAATTAAAATTAAGTGCAAAGGTGATTCATAGGGTTACCAAAAGCATTACAGCACAAGGCTCTTGAAGCTGTAATAGCTGCATAGAAGAGGGATTGTGAGCAGCTGCTTCTTTCTCAACCCCTCCAGAAACAAGACATGACCAAATTTCCTCTCCTGTGCAACTATAAGTTGGCTTTTGCCAACTAGGTGGCTTCCAGATGTTCTGTACTACAACTCCCATCAGTCCCAGAGCGCCAGGGACCAGTTTGGCAAAGGCTGACAGGAACGATAGGTGGCACCAGTGAGAGGGGCAAAAGGACAAAAGCCCCCCACACTGCGGTCCCTTGTGGTCAGTTGAAGGAAAGGTACTTTCCACATACAAATGATCACTGAATCATAAACTGGACATTAAAGTCCGAGGGGTGTTTGCTTGAAAGTTTAACGTCCATCAAAATAAATGACTTCACTTCAGAGAAAAAAGGTTTTGAGATGGGAGTGGCAGATGTAAAATACAGTGGTACCTCGGGTTACAT